CCCTGGGGTGACTGAGGACGGCTCAAAAACAACCGATCCTATTCTTACTGCTCGATATGATTTGATGATAACCGAGCTCCCATCAACCCACACATGATCAAAAGCCGATGCTCAAAGGCTTGTTCAATATAAGACAGCTGATATAAACATATCAAACAAAGCCAAGAGATGTCCAAAGCAATAAATACGAAGGTAGAAAGTGTGAGAAAAGTGGGCAGAGTCATACAGGCAATCCGCTTTGTGTATTGTCCAGACCGGGACACATGGAGTGTGTAACTCTAGTCCAGCAGTGGTCGCTCAGAGTCTGGGAGAGCTGCAGCGTAAAACAGATGGAACAAGGGAAGGACTTTTTTTGGTGACAGAATGCTTTCCACTGTTCAAATGCTATACAAAGCCCATTGATTTTTCTCTGTGTTCAGTGAAGAGCGGTGAAATATCCTGTTTCAGTGTCCACCGCGCGGTCATGACACCTAGACCCGGGTCAGGTCTGTCCGGTCCCCAGTGGAGGCAAGCTGAGCCCAGGAGGGGACTAGACATAACAAGCGCCAGATTCCTCCCCGCATATCTTTTTCTCCACTGTCTACACATGTCATCTGCCATATCTGCACTCTGGCAAGCAGGCCGCCTCATTTTTCCATAAAGCTCCGCTCGTTTTGTCATTTTCGTAGCTGAATGGTTTTGACCTCGAGGCTATCCTTTGCGACCTGCAATGTGCAAATGGAAAACCAAACTCTCCTTTCCCATGAGCCCTCTGGATAGACAGAGAGATTGCTCCTCAGGAAACTTGTGTCAGGAAGTCAGATGAGGAAACTGGTTTTGCGTTCTAAATACAACCCCCCCCCCTTGAGACTGGTGTGTCAGCAGCCAACTGGACAGTAAATCTCCCTTAAACACTGACCTACACTCTCTTGTTTTGTTGCTATTTTTGCGACCTCCCATTTCACTAAAGGCATCATCCTTTTCCCTTTTTTTTTTTCCAGCGCCTGTTGGCACCAAAAGAGCCACAAACCCAAGCGGTGTTTGTGTTGAACTCTGGTTAAGGATCGCTGTGCTGTGACGTGTCAATGGGCCAAGTCCCGCATTGATTCTGCATCCCACCCAGTGTGAGTTGAAGGGCACTGGAAGTGAGTGGATGGGCATGCTGGAGCGATTCATGGGAACAACATCAGCAAGAGCAATTGGCGGTTCACCACTAACAATACTGTGGCTACTCTTATGGACGATTAATTGCTGCAAGCTCTCATTTTCTTTCTTCCCTCAATCTTTCTCTTCCCCCAGACTCTCCTCTGCTGAGGCTGGTTTCACCCTGCGAGATGACCACAGGGCTCCCACATGAACTTGGCATTCCATGAAACATGAAAAGAGGCAATCATGGTGCCCGGGCTGTCGAAGCTTATAAAGGCAAGAATCAGATCACTCGAATTGGGAAGATGGAAAGAGAATGCACACAGAAATGGATCCCACGCAATTACACCGTGAAAATGGGCTGACACAGGACTACATCAACAAGAGATCAAACTTTGCTCAAACTTGGCCAACCTTGACTGTAAGTTGCTCAACGTGCAGCTGCCTGATGAGTTGTCCTGTCGGTGTTTCGAAAGATGCTCTCACATGTCGGCAAAAAGTAGGAAGTTACGGGAGAATTAACAAATCTATGGCTTTTAATAGTAGCTGAAACACCAGTGAGCAGTAATATCTCATAGTCAGAGGTCAAAGAACATTCCACAAGCCACCATGCTTTTTTAAAGTTTCTACATCTTTAGAATTCAGATGAGGAATTCTTTTAATCCCCTGATACACAAGGAACTCAAGAATATATACTATATATGTGTGTGTGTGTGTGTGTGTATACATATATATGTAGAAAAACTGTTAGTTACCCAAAAGTTATTCAAATATGTTATAGTTTGATGCAACTTACAATAACAAATAAGAATATTATCCAGAAAATGAGTAAATTCCACTTGTCGTAACTCACACGGTGATCTGTTCAATAGTTTGACAGAACAGAAAATGTAACCCCTTGTGCGGAGGCTGTTTTTTAATCTTTCTTCCATTCCAATACTTTAAATAGAAAACTTACCGTCTGAAACCCTGAGAAACTGATATTCATCAACAACCCCAGAATACACGATATGTCCCATGCAGCAGTAAAAGGGCAACTTGTTTCTCCTTTAAAACATTGTCTAATGAGCTTGTGGTCAATTTGTGGGATGTGGTGCTGTGCAGTTTAAGATTACCACACAACTAGTGTGAGCAATTGTATGTTGTGTTACTGATAAGTCGCTTTCCCCCATATAGGGCTACTGATTCAGCTGGTCAGTGATTACACAATGCACAGGCCTCATTCCACTCAACGCAACACATAAAAAGAACTGAGCTTTTCTGAGCCGAAGCGCTCTAATACTCTTAGATATTCACATGGTTGATGTAACTGGTCTAATCTAAAAGTGGGCTGGAGACAAAAACGGGAATACTTTCATATGTTCATAAACATGGATGCAAATGGGAAAACTGCCCCAAATGAAAAAGAAAAGGAAGAACTCTGCCCTCTGTTGGCTGTCATGTTGGACTACAGCCAACTGTTGCTATTTGGAAAACCTCAGACAATTAGTTGCGATTCTCCAGGACGTCTTTCATCTCCTGTTCAGTTAGATAAAGCTTTGACGTCCTGTCTTCCCACTTAAACATTATCAGTGACCTCAACCCCTACTTCATCCTCCCTTTAGTGGAGGGGTCATCAGAGATGACAGTACAAGAAGGAGAAAATCAAATCACGCTGCTAAAGCTGAGGAGTGACTGACTGCAGCTCCAGCCGAGCCTAAAAAGGAGGACAGCCTTGACCTCGAGGTGCATGGACCCTCAGAAATCATCTCTCCAGAGAGGGTGCTTCACCCTGTCAACAGTGAGGGGAGAGGGCAAGAGGAGGCTATGTGGGTTTGGTTCTGTCACTTCTCTCCTTGGAAGTCAATAGAAACTTCATGATAATTGTCATGGAATCTTTTTTTCCTTAAAAAATATCAGACTTATTTTTGTTGAGTTTTCTCTCAGGTTTGATGTTAAACTGAAAAAAAGCTGGATGTCAAACAATCTGCCTGAACATTGAAGAAAGGGTAGATATGACCAATTGGTTTGTCACTTTATGCCAAGACGGATTTAGCAAGGAAGACACAAATAGTCTTCTTGAGAGCGAGGCTTAGTACAGAGGTCATCATTTCCCTCTTTTGATGAGCCTCGATGAGCTGGTGTGAGGTTGTACTGTAACAGCTCTCATCTCCCATCCAAATGACCACATTCCCACTTAAACTCTGGCAGTAATTCTGTTTAATGTGTGACATCTTACAAGCCCTAAAAGTCCCCTCACGCCCGCAACAGGCTTTTGTTTTCTGCCTGCAGAAAAGCTCAGGCTCCCCTCCTACTTCCCAGCTGAATTTATTCCGGAGAGGGAGACAATCGATCTGATCCACTTAATCAATCAGTGACGAGGCCTTTGAACTGCAGACGTGATTTCCAGCAAGTCTGTCATCCCACCCTGTCGTCTGTGAAAACACTCCAGGGGGAGATTACTCGACACAGCCCTGGCTCGTAAAACTCTTTTTATGTTCAAACACACCGTCGCTGCTCGTTGACAGAGTCCAGAAAAAGTAAGTGTTTGCTTAAAGTTATATCTGCTTTTCTTGTTTCTCGAGGAATGCGGTAGGTTCACAAAGGCCCGCTGTTGTTCTGCACTCGGGCCTTGAATCTGATCATCCCTGTTTCAACTTATTTCGACATTTCTGAGAAAAAAAACAACCTTCCCTGCCTTCTCCACGGCTGCAAGCAAGAGACAAAGATCTCCACCCCCCGTGTGGCTCCTGCATAGGCAAAGAAGAGGAAGGGGAAAGGGAATGTTTTGCCTCCCTATCCCCACCCCTCTTCCCTCACTTCCCCGGGGCAGTGCTGTGTAGTAATAAACGTCCCCCGTAAATCTCCTCCTCATGCCATCATCCCCTCCTCCAACTCTTTTTTTAAACAGCTCCCTTTCTTTTCTTCTTTTTCCACAATCCTGCCTCTCTTTTGCCTCCTCTCCTTTGTTGAGACCCAGCGCTGACATAAACTCAGGGCTGATGGCTGCTCTGTCATGGATTTGGAAGGCGGGAAGACGGGCCACAATAGATTTGTATAGGTTTCACTCTCTGCAGCCCGGCTCTTTCTTGTGTGGCTGCACGCGTCATTGTGACTGGTTGAATCTGGTGAGATCACTTCTGGATCAGGTTATCACCTGCCTGATGAAATGATACGCACATGTTCTGTTCCGGAGGGGAGCTTTATACCTGTTGCCGAGGCGTAACAAATGGGCCGTTGTACAAAGAGCAAAAGAGCAGATCAGAGGTGGAATAACTGTGGTGGGGAAAGAGTTAAAAAAAGCCCTGACTGCCTGAATGCACCGGAAAGCCCCACCAGTGACGTTTCAGTCCAGCAATTAAGAGTAAATTAATTACAGAGTAGTGGGTGGTAGCTGAAACCCTGAGGATAATGCATCATCCTCCAGTAAACAACTCCCGAATGTGAAGGACCAGACTTCCATGTGGGGGGGTAGGAAAGAGAAAATAAAGTTGCTGGTAGCCTCATCTTTGCCACAGAGCTGTAAAAGCCTCTGACTGTGACCTGGCTGTATCTGATGTAGATCGATTACCTGGAAGTTGTACTCTCCGCAAATAAAGGCAACTTTAATAAGTCACTTCTTATGTAAAATATTTAACTAGTGCTGACTTCACAAGGTAGTAAAAACTCCCTCTCTCTATCCCCAGACTTTACTTGAGTTAAGCAGGTGGATATCAGACAGTTATTTTACGGTGGTTCTTTTCCATTAAAGCAAACAACTGCGTTCGCAGCAAGTCCTGCAGTCTAATCTCAAATAAACTGACAAAGTGGCGCACGAGGGCAGGAAGAAAAAAAAAAAGTTGCTCAAAGTTAACGCCCAGTCCTCGAGGCTCCTCCTGCAAATGATTATAAAGCTTCGGAGCCGGAGCGGGTCAGAGGGGGAGTCTGCAGGGTCCAAAATACACAGGAGCTGCGAATCAGAAACTCCGCAGACCTGCGCAACTTTTCTAACAAAGCTCCGTTTGGGTTTTATTTCTACCTTTGACTTGATTCTGGTGGCCGCAAAGATGACCACAGCCGTGGTGACGCCTTTCTTCGACTTCGAAGTAATGAACAAGGTAACTTGGAAACTTTTTCCCATTGGTTTTTTCACGTGAGCTGTCGTTAGCCTGCTAGCAGCAGCAGGGAAGTAGCCGCTGTGGAGGAATGAGGGGCAGCAGGACGGAGGCCCGCGGCCCGCCTCCCGGCCGCGGAGGCCGGGGAGGCCGGCGGGGCTTCGCCCTGTTGACTTGTTAACCCCTCTGCCCTTCCAGTCGACAGGCTCTTTAGTTTTTACCACTCGTTTCCTCTTGGAATGGCACAAGTCGAGCTCGTCTGCCGAAGCGTGGCGTTACTGTTAATTTGGGACGAAACTGGGATCGGTTCAGACTCGGCATGTGCCACATCAGCCGGAACGCGGGTTTAGAGGCCCGGCGGTGCTACAAGTGGCTTTCCCTACTGATAATGTCCTCTTTAATTTATCTAGAGAGAACTTTACTTAATATTTTTAACGTCTCGTTTTGTATTCCGGGCTCTTTCATGCTGGCTTATCATTGACTGGATGCACTTCTTTTTTTTTTTTTTAACTGTTGCTGTGAACTAGTACAAAGTTGATTAAGTTGTTGCTTGTTGTTGTTGTTGTCTGTGTTTTCGCACGTTTTGAAGCAATCTGAGCGGAATTGTCCTTCAGGCGCCTTTTCCCCCCCTCCTGCTTTTGTTGGATTTTAATCTTAACCCGTTTAGGTTGTGTAAATCAGTCAATAACAGGCCATCTCCTGTAGTTTGGGAGTGTATTGAGAGGCAGATCGGGTTTCTATGTAATCCAGAGCGATGCTTTGCCACTTTAATTCTCTTTCAAATGATGCAGCCTCTTTGTAGCCACTAGCAGCCCACGGGCCTCTCATGTGCTGTTGCTCCTTTTACTAAACACATTCCTGACCAGGGCAACTTGCCAAACCAGCTGCCGTTCTATAGGCCTGTATCTTTTTAAGTCTTTTGGAGCCTAAAAAGAGAGTCATTCAATGCTTTTTGTTGTTATTTCTTGTGACTTCCCCATTCTTAAGCCTCTGTATAATCATGACCCAAAGTTTGCCCCTTTTTTTTTTTTTGATCGTTTGTACCAATAATCTGATCTGTACCTGTGTTTTCTTGCAGAACAACAAGCTGCTCAGCTACAATAACAACTTGGGTGCCCCTCACCCCATGTCTGTCCCTTGCACTGGCACCAACGTGCCCCTCTCTAGTCCCGCCGGAGCCCTGCTGGACAGGAAGGCGGTTGGATCTCCCTCAGTGGGAGTTGTGTACCAGCGGCGGCACTCGGTCAGCAGCACAAAGTTCAGCCAGAACCAGTTTCTGAACAGCCTGAAGACGGCGGATCACTCCTCGCTCATCTCAGGGGTCGGAAACATCAGCAACAACAAAGAGAACCGCCTTCGAGACCGCTCCTTCTCCGAGACGGGTGAGAGGCTCATCAACAAGTGCCTGGGACCTGCCAGTCCCACTTGTGGCAGCAGCCAAGTGAACTCCAGCCGTTACAAGACCGAGCTCTGCAGACCCTTCGAGGAGAACGGTTCCTGCAAGTATGGCGACAAGTGTCAGTTTGCCCACGGTATCCATGAACTGCGCAGCCTGAGCCGCCATCCCAAATACAAAACCGAGCTGTGCCGCACCTTCCACACCATTGGCTTCTGCCCATATGGGCCCCGGTGCCATTTCATCCACAATGCCGAGGAACGCCGTGGACCTCCCCAGCAGTCCTCCCCTCTGAACCCTTCCAACAAGATGGAGAAGCCTCGCCTGCAGCACAGCTTCAGCTTTGCCGGCTTCTCTAACTCAGCTGGGCTGAGAGACAGCCCCACCTCGGTCACCCCGCCGCCCATGTTCTTCCCCGATGAGGTCGCCGATTGGCCCTGCAGCAACCCCTTCACCTACTCCAGCCAGGAGCTGGCCAACCTGTTTGGGCCCAGCCTTGGTGGCGGCCCTGTCGGCACGGAGCCCAACACCCCTGCGCCTCCCTCGCCAACAAGCACCCCTTACTTTTTCAGACCCATGCTGGAGTCCCCTCAGATGTTTGAGGCTCCATCCAGCTCTCCAGACTCTCTGTCAGACCAAGAGGGCTACCAGAGCAGCTCTGGTGGCAGCCTGAGTGGTTCCGAGTCCCCGACGCTGGACACCACCCGTCGCCTCCCCATCTTCAGCCGCCTCTCCGTCTCTGACGACTAGATTGCACGCATCCACACGTGACTGTAGTTCGATGACACAAAAAAAAAACCATGGCACTCCCCCTCTACCTCTCAGCCTCCTGTAAGCATCCCTGTCCTCCCCCTACACAAGACGCTGTCAGGTCCTTGTCATGGTAAGGATGTAATCAATTAAGGGAACCTTCTTAACTCTTAAAATAGTTTCAGCCCAGTAATTATGCACGTCAAGTCTTAAAAAAATGATGCCATGTGTCATAGTGCCAAAAGAGGAGAGGAAATCGAACAATGAAAATGATGAGAACAAGAAATGACTGTTTCGCCAGGTGCCACTTGTTGTTTTTTGTTTTTCCTTTCTTCTTTATTTGTTCTTGAATGTGTAGCAGCACAAGTGGCCTTGGAAAGGGGAGTGCATTGCACTAACCCCCCCCCATCCCACCCACCCGCCCCACTCCCTCCCACCTTCTCTTTCCCTCTCTGATACCACTTCCCCTGAGCTAGCTAGACGGTGCTCTCTGATGTAAATGTAGCTCTCCTGCAGATGTTTTACAGACATAAATGAAAAAAAAATAACAGACCCTGAAAATGTATGAATAGTTTTAAAAAAAGAAAGGAAAAAAAGCAAACAAAAAAATATCTAAAAAGGTGCCTAGGGCGGTTTCTGCATGCGTTTAGGGTGAATGGACTACTGGTTATTTTTTTGGTTCTCTCTGATTTGTCCCCCCCCTCACAGTTCTTCTCCAGCCCCGTCTTTATGTAATTGACCTGGGTGAGTCTGCAGGAAGGACTTTGAACTGGAAGTTGGTTATGCCCCTCTTACCCCTCCCTCCTCGAGTTTTCTCCTCCTGTTGCTGGTCACTGGCTTTTTTTTCTTCTTTTTTCCCCCCAAATGTTTTGGGAAGGAAGTCTTCATGTTAAACTGATCATTAAACCTGTACGACTTCGCTCCCAACTTACTTCATCTTTGCCGATCTGGGGGAATTCCAGCATTGCCATGGTGCATTTGTACATCCTATGACTTAATGAGATCGGATCTCCAAGCTATAATACTTTACTTTTCTCCCGCTTTACAACTTGCTCCAAGGAGCACTCTGTACTCATTACATCTTTTTTTTTTTCCTTCATTATTTGATAATTACTTTTTATTAATGTTATTACGGTTATTATTATTTGAGAAACTTTCCAGACAGAAGGTTTGCGTGTCACTGCTTATTTAACTTATCAAAACATATTTATTGGTGATCATATGCATTTTTTGTTAATTTTGTTTTTGTATTTATCTGGATAATGAACAATAGAATATATTTTCTTTTATGTTAAATTATGATCTTCCATATTAATCTAAAGATTGTGAAGACGTTTTTGTCAGTTTTCCTTTTTTTCACAGTTTAATATATTGTACTTCAATGACTTTTGTTCTGCAACTACACTTTTGTCAAATGAAACTAATTTAAAGCAAAAAAAAATGCAAAAAAAGATGTTTTGCGTTTTGATTATTTATTATACTTTTTTTCTTTACTCCCTCTCATTGGACTGCAATTCCATCGAAACTAGACTTGCTCGTTTTCATTCCTCACGTGTCTCTTCCCTGCCCTACAATAATATGACCGTAGCAGTGGCTAACTGTATGTGAATTTGGCTCATTTGGTTTTGGACTGGCCCCTTTTTTGAAGTCATCCTCACAGTATCTGGGTTGATTGTAGTTGCTGTATTGGGATTAAAAAAAGAAAGAAAAAAACTTCCATCACTTGTTTTAGAGTCTCAAAGTTAGACCTATGAAATGTTTTGTCAGTAATGTTTGTGCACCCAGTCTGTTATTACAAGCAGCTGTGACCAAATGGGTTGAAGAAAGTATATTTTATTTGAATTTGATTGGATGCTTGACGCACTTGCTTGGCCCCCTCGCGACCAGTGGAAGTGCCTCGTTTATTACATTCCAGGTAGCTCAGGCTTCTGTCTTTTTTTATATTTGATAGTGGAGGACAGTTTTTAAGTCACTTGTGCTATGTTGCCTTCATGTGTTGGGAAGAGGTGAATGGATTCTGACACAAAGAAAGTAAAATTGTTGAATGTATTTCTTTTTCCAACAATGTTGTTTTCACTACAGTAATTTCTGTGAGCTTATATGAAAACCTTTTTTTTCTCTCCTCTTTCTTTTTTGTAAGTATTGATTGCAGTTAAGTCAATAAACCCTGTATTTTTGGAAAAGTTTCACTGTGTCGTGAGTCATGCTTTGAGATGTCCTTAAACCTGAAAGTTCGAAGTTTCCTATTATTTTTAAAACGCTACCAAACTGATTTGGTAATTAAGCATTATTTGCAATAAGGATGACTATTATATGCTTGTGATGTAAATGCAAAGTTATATATTCTAATTTTCTTACTATTGGGAACGAAGACCTTTTTAGAATGGTATGACCTTTCATAAACTGTTGCATTGCCATTGAATTAGCTCATAGGTGTCGTAAAGTTTAAAACAAAGTCTTGTTCACAGAGTCATCACTCTGTGCTTTTTATCTTTATTTTAATCTAGCAACAATGTTAAAGGTTATTATATATTGCAACACACATAACAAATCACCATTCGTTTGCACACTGTCAAAATGAGTTGTGTTCTAAAGTGATCTGCAGAAGTTTAGCTTTTCGGTGCCTACCGCAAGCCTAAAGGGTGTTTCACTGTAGTGGACGTTTATTGGTGGGCTGCTCAGACTGCTGGCAGGGGTATTGACCTGGGAGTAATCAAAGTCTGATTGAACAGGTTTGGTTACACAAAATCTCAACTCCTGGTTTCAGCTGAAATATTGACCAGACAGTTCTGTAACTATAAAGTTTCTGAGAATTTAAAAAAAAAAAAAAAAGGGGGGGGGGGGTGTTCCCAGATAATGACCTGATCAGTGATCCTGAGTTTAAAGAAAGCTGATCAATGTGAGTTAGAATATTCCTGGTAAGAGAGGAGCAAACAGCTCTGTTGTGTATTCGGCTGATAATCAACATGTAATAGTAACTGGTCAACTGTATGCATTTTCTCAGGAAGACTAAACTTAGATAATCTGTTTGAACATTAATAAGGGCAGAGAAAATGAGATTCGCTGGCCCCACTCCCCCAAATGTCCACACTGCTTGTGTTTTCCCTTGCTCTCTGGATACTTCCGCCTGTCCGTGTTTATACTCTCTCAGATTGCAAAAAGGAGCGGGGACAGGAACTCTCTTCCCTCCATACAATGGTGGGTGCTGACTTGTCACAGCTGACCCATGGAGGCTGATGCTTTACTCCACAGAAACTAGGCCTTGTAGATTCTTGTCTTGCTCTTTTACTCCCTCTCAAACCACCCATCTGTTCAGCCCACATCCAGTCCCACATCTGAACTTCTGCCTACCGAGACACTACGCTCACTCTACTAGATATAAGAAAATATCTGGACTCAGATGATGCTGGCATACTTCATTCTTACTACTTACTAAAGCAAGTGAAGTTTAAAGAATAAAGAAGGAACTGGTCCTGAGCATTTGTGATTTAAGATAGAAAATGTTTTTCAGCAGCAGTTAGCTGTGAAAGTTAGAATTAAGCAGTGATTTAGAATCGAAGAACCCCCTATGAGTCAGTTAAAACGTGTCAGTTATATAATCTGAAACGTGAGGAGGATATTCAAGTATTCTCCACTGTGCCTTGTGGTTCACTCTCTACCAGAATAGTGAAAGAGGTTTCATATGGAACACCCAAACATCCTCTGAAATAATTAAACAATCTAAAGAATGCAGTTGTTTTTTTTAATCAGCCCTGACATTTGTGAGAATGACTTGACATGATTCGGAAAAATATAGTATATCTCCAAAACTGATAAACCCAATAAGTGTAAGTGTATCAAAGAGTTTGCACGGTAAGTTACCTGAAGCCCTTATACAGACAAACAGCTGAACAAAAACCTTCTTCAGGTCATGTTTTAATAAGATTATAGGTGATAAAACAACTCCTTTAAAGGTAAACCATCTAAAGCTAAACCAGATGAACACAACTGATGCAAACTTTCTTCAGAAAGTTGGATTGTGCAGTTCAAAGCACATGAAAGACGCTGTTTCCTGTTTGTGTGGTGTGCGCACCTTCACACAAAGGGAACAGGAAGTGGGTTTTTCAACTTATGAAAGTGGCAAATGGAGGGGGTCGTTTGTTCTTTAAGGTGCAATGAAAAAAACAAAACAAATTAAATTTCCATTACTTCATCACACTTTCCCAGTGAATTACATTCCAGCGTGTGGGCAGGACAGTGACAAAGATCATCCCTATGGTTTGGTCATTGCTTCCTGAATGGTGGGATAAGGCTGGTCTCCTGCTTTACTCTCTGTGCCAGATATTCATTCACCTTTAACCTGTGGCATTAAGCAAGAGAATGTTGCAGCATGTACACTTTGTAATTGTGTTATCGGAGGAAGGTTTACCTCCATGTTTGAGAAAGAGGTGAGCAAATAGCGCCGATGTGCTAACTGTCCCTTATCTGCAGCCATGGCAGAGAGCAGCATAGCTGCAGCCCTGCGCGCATTCAAGTGTGTGTGGCTGAGCGGCTGCAGCACGCTGCAGGTGTTGTCAAAGAGATCGTTAATCACCAGACAAGAGCTGAGGTCAACATTGACTGAGCCGGTTAGGTTGCAGGCCATTCAGAAGTTGCTTTGTCTGTTGAAAGCAGAGGTACAATTAACCTCCTTCAAACACACATACCAGAGCTTAGGGACCTTCTTTAGAGACATCCACCCAGGCAAACATGGCTCATTTCATGTAAGCACAGTTATCTTCTGATCAGCTGAAAACACTGTGGTGAGATTGGGCAATGGTCTTTTGGGGATTGCCTTGTTTGCAGAGAGCGACAATTGGTGACCGCTGATGAGGTGACATCTCAGATGAAGCAGTGCTTGTTAGCTTAGCTTCACAAAGCTGTTGAACATAAGCTGCCTCTAACCTGTGTATGTATGTGTGTATATATATATATATACATATAACCCTAACTAACCAAAGGTCTAATTTCAACATGATTTAAGGCATTCTAAATTGCAGCAGAGTGTTTTTATTCTAGTCTCAAACCTGTTGACCTTGTTATTACAGGACAAACTCATAACCCTTACTACTGACCAAAATCCCTTTTACCCCCATAACCTTTTGGTTATAATACACCATCATCTTTTCTGTCTGCAGCTCCCTCAGATTTAACTGTACTCTTTGTTGGATTTTACTGTGACCTCACAAGGGGGGGATGCAAAGAGTTGGCATCTTGTTTTCCTAAATATTGAAATTCTTAGCTTAATTATGGGGATGTGTTATATAATTTGTGTTAACAAAGGGGGGCTTCTCATCCCAACCCTAATCTCTTCCTGAAAATGATCAGCCTTAAGTATGTGTGCTTCGTTGTTTGGGAAGTTTACTGTCAAAATACAAAACAACATGGATACTGGAAAAGAAAAGGAACACCCAATAGTTAAATCTATAAAAAATGTTGTTTATAGCTGGTTACAATAAAGTATACAATAAATATGCCATCAAAAACAATATTTTAGAAACTCAATAAACTGTAGTGTATGGGAGCTTTATCTCTATCCCCAACATTTCTATCTTCAAACAGCTTTCCAGTTCCCCCCACTACTTGAATCCAATCGTATCTCTAATGACATATATGAAAATCAAACTGTGGTAAAGTAAAAGCTTCACATTCCAATCATCATGTTGCTCGAATCTCGCTATGTTTCGCTTCATGCAAAGTTGCATTAGCAAAGCGCTATCTCTCATGTGTGTCACTTTGAGAATTGATTGCACATCAGCAGACACCCCCTGATTCATGGGTTTAATTCATGCGCTCCACATCTCTATTATGTAGGCTTCTGTGGCTATAACACTGCTTACCGAGTAATGACCATTAGCCTGGATCCCATGACACATGGTCTTTTCTCCCTCCGGGCCAAGTGCAACCCCTGACCTGTAAAAGAAAGAAACAGACAACACATATGTGTTGAACACAGGAGTTGGGAGGTTGCAGAAGAGAATACTGGTGATGGCTGCCTGACAGGTTATGGAAACACACCCTTCCACTCCTCAGTGTCACACAGAAACAAAAACAAAGCCACCAAACTCTTTCTGGGCTCTGCACTAATGGACAAGTGATGACTTTTCTCCTGATGAGACACTCCATCCTTGTGGCAACACGAGGTGAGGACTGACCAATGGGTGAGCCCATCCTGAATCTGACACCATTGTGCTTTGGGTTTCTGGTCCGATGGGCCGGGTGAGTCACTGCCTCAGTTCTCATGAGTGCTTAACCACTTAATTCTTCCTGTCTCATGACTTTGAACATCGTGGTTGGATGGGAGGAGAGCAGCATGCGCAGAGTTAACACCTGTTCTTTCTGTGGACTTAGTCCTTTTAACCTACTCAACAATTCCAGATCAGGTTTTGCTTTTGTAGTTCAGGCTATTCTTCCTCAAGCAATACCAGAGTTTTCTTTTTAAAATCTTTGGAGAGATCTTGGAATAGGGCACCACAACACCAGGTATCAGACAGGTTGTAAAAAAGCCTAAGGTTGAACCAGATTATCTAAATCAGTGGTTCCCAACCTTTCCTTATGACAAGTTGTATATATGTACGCTTGATATAGCTCATTTTTCCTTGTGCCTTTAGGCATTTAGCAAGTTGAAACTCAAAGGCTCAACAGTTAGCGTCACGTGAACAGACGCAAAGATTGTGTGTGGGTGTGTGTGTGCTGTGAAGGTAAACCTGGTTAGCTTTAAACCACTGAGCCATGCTTAAGCTAAAAACAGTGTGTTTCCTCACACACGACTCTCAGTTTTGTTTTGCAGCATCTGTTTCCTCTGATGGCAGCGGTGATGGAAAACAATCTCATTCTCAGTTCTTAAATGCAGTTTTTCAGTTTCCCAGCAGTTCAGGACCGGTTACTATGACCTCAGCATGTGAGCACACGCACGCACGCACACACCCACCCACACACACACACAGACACCCACATATAAACATACTCCTACTCCCTTACAGCCTGCAGATATGAAGTAGACCACAGCCTAAGTTGACTAACCAGCCACTCTGAGTCACTCAGGGCTAACAGAGGTAAATGCAGACAAAAAATGACATCAGTGATACTTTTACAGGAAGTCCTTGCTCTGTCTTGTGCTAAAGTCTGAGACGCAGATGGCCATCTCATATCTATAATCTAACAC